CTTCTTCCTGTCAGTGAAGTAATGCCTTATCAAACCACCCTGCACACCAAAACATATCTGACACTCAACAAATATGGAGTGACATATCTAATGGATACAAGACCAGCCAGCCGGAGGCCAAATTATTTTCACATCAATTACATGGCAGATGGAATCACGTTTTCGCCATGTGAAATAATGAAAATATACTAGGGAGAAAATATACCGTTTCAAGGAAATAATTCACTGTTCTCGGTATCGAGTTGGTTCATGATTTTGAAATATATTACATTTGACTACTTTAAGGCGTATGCCAGAACTAATAGATATTTTCATATTACTGTACAGAATATAAATGTTTCCTTTTAGCTGCTAAAATAAAAAAATATAATTCTGTCACTAGTTGACTTATTAGAATATTTGTGAGTGGCATCGTTTTTGTCAGCGTAAAAAATATTTTATATTTATCCGTGCATCAGGATATTATTTAAATTATATTAAATAGTACGACTGTAGCCTACGAATTCGATGGAAAGATCAAGTGGAAGACAACTTCTCGGAATATGGTCTATCAATTTGGAAATGCTGATGAGCCGATGAGCCTGGAAATTTTTTTAAGTTCGGCTTATGGAACAAATGTTTTGCCACAATTCAACTAAGTAAGTAATCTACTATAGGGAATATTTCAGTGTTCATTCACCGACATTATAATGTATATATATATAGTTATAATGTAACATCCCAAAGGATGCATAATCCAAGTCTCCTTTATTGTAGGGATGGCATCATTGATTCTAACCAAAGAGTCTTTCGTCCAATAACTTCCATCATCAGGATACTGACATTTATTTGTTATTTGCAATGAAGTGTAAAAGTGTGGCTGAAATGTTGTATTCTGTAAGAAAATTTCATTTGTTTGTTTTATTGTGTTTACAATAACAAAAGAAATTTAAACAATATCGAATGTTGTTAAAAGTTACGGAATAGGCCCACAGAGCTCTGATTTAAACAACGACACCGGAGTATCCGCCTGTCTGCTGGCCGGCTGGTGAGCATGATAACTTTCGAGAAAGTAAACGATTTCATCCACACTTTGCACATCGTAATATTTTTCCAAACTTAGTTCAAGTTCGAAGATGGGTAATATCGGTCCAACTTATTATCTTTACCAAGCCTAGATCAAGTCCGAAGGTGGGTCAACATCTTATAAACTTTTAAATTTAATTTGAAGCGAATTGAATAAACGATTTGATCAACATTAAATCGGAAACCTTTTTGATAAAAACATAGTTATGAAGAGTAAAACGGGCCTGTGCACTGTGTTGCTTCTTTGGTTTTCAAATCGAATATGGTTCATTCAATTGGGAAAAATTGGGGACTAAAACCATCGACTATCCACTGGATGTATAACACCGTGAATCTCTTGTTTGGTGGTTGAACAAAATCTTTGGCGAAATTGAGTTTACGGGCATGGAAAACGAAAGGCTATGCCATGAGTTTACCTATATGTTGGATTGCGACTGTAGTTGTAAGTAAGTATGTTTGGAAACACTTACTAACAGCTATTGGCTGTGTTGCGTACCAGGACACTGGACATCATGGGTAATGAAAAAGCTGACGAACTAGCTAGAAGATCTCAATCCACAGATCTGGCAATCAGTGACTCAATCAAACCACCCATCTGTCACTTTGAAGTGTTCTTCGACGAACGAGCCAATGAACATTGGCACAACAAACCCAGATGCAATGTGTCAAGATCTATCTTGCCGACTCTGTCAGTCAAGAGAACGAACTCACTTTTGAACCAGAGAAAAGCTGAAAATAGAGTAATGACAAGAGACATGGTCTTTACAATATCAGGGCCTTTACCAGTAAGTGGGTCTGTGATGTTACTGATTTCTGCAGACTCTGTGATGACGAGGAGGAGACGGAGACAATTGAACATCTCCTATGTCGCTGTCCAGTCTTGGCCTACAGACGGCACAGATTAGTGGGTGCTAACTTTCCACCGTGTCTAAGCTTCTTTTCAACTATCTACAGTGGTTGGGAAATTGCAACCTTAGCACGTAATATGTTTTCTGTCCAAATTTTCTACAGCCATCAATACTATTCATGTATTCATGTCTTTTCTATCCCCCCTTTCTCTTCTACAGATCTCTCCATATCTTTCATGGATGATCACAATGGACCGGACGGTCTCCGAGTGCTGCAGTTACATTTAGTGACTGCACATTACCAAACTTAACCTAATCTGAACCATTTCCCGACTACGAAGCCCTGGTATAAACGACGTTAGGTTCGAATTTGGTTCCAATGAAAATGACGTAGGCAAATTTTTGTCCCCAATCAAAGTCCTGAAAAATTGACTACAAAGCCCTGGAATTAACGGCCCGGTCGAGCCGAACTTATTAATCTAAAGAAAAGAAAAAAAAATAAATTACAGTTATCAAAAAAAAAATGTGTACCGTTATTTGGGGTCAAACCAAAATATGGACATCCAAAATTTATTGTGAAGAAGTCTTAGAACCACTAACAACTCTAACCGAATGCCTAACTACAGTCACGTCAAAAGAAATAATAATTTCTAAAATAGTGCGATATATTGGAGCTATGTAAAAACATGTTCCTATATTTTTTTCTGTTAAATATTGTGTAACCTCTAAAAATCCTGAATACTAGACAATCAAATCGTCTTTATATGGGGGTTATACCAAAACGTTTACGATATTATTTCAATTTCTAATATCAAATATCCTTGGAGTAACTGCAATTTTTTTGCAAAATTTTAAAGCTCTGTCTTAAATATTGCGAACTCTATCGTGGTTAAAAAAACATTCGGCATTATTAAATCAATTTCTTTAATGTAGGACTTTTATCGGGAGAATATATCAAAACATGTGAATTTAAAAGATGGGGCATTAAATATTGTTACTGCTACTTATTATAATGATCGGCAGGAATTTGATACACTTAATGTAAGTGAGACCCAATTTTTTATGACAACAATTTAAATTTTTATCCTAGTTGAGCTGAAACCACACATTAGAGAAGCATGTCATTAAATATGTCACATACAAATTTCTTGTGGCTAAAGTTCACAGGTCAATGACTGACTTCATCAACAAATATTTCTACGAAAGATAACAACAAAACCCTTTCCCCGAGGTGTTATTATTTTCATTTTATTTTCACAAAACAATTCCTCAATATTTACGATCTACGCGTAAAGTTTTCAACATTTGTCTGGTCAAACGACCATAGGCCTATCAGCTTGACACGAGTTTATAAACTGTTGGCGAAAACAAACTTAATATCTTTCCACACACACACACACAACTACATAACATGGACCACAACATCATCCAGCTGTCAACATCTGCACAATCCTATATGATAGATAATATTGTTTGTTGTTATCAAAACCGAAAAGAAAATAGCCATTTTCCTGGAAAGGATGCCCTCACAAAAATGGCACACAAGCAAAACTTGTAAGTGGAAAATAACACGCATCAATAGTGGGCGGTATTGCGTTTTGTGCTGGCCAATATAAAAAAAGGTCACGTTCATAGGAAACATTAAACACAAGGCTATTTTCTTTAATAACAAATGATTTTTTCTTTATGGAATGGGCGGGACATAGCTATTTGCAAATTTAATGGCCCTTAAATGACAAACTAATGCAGTCATGCAGAAAAAAAGGTATAAGGCCAAACGATTTTTAACTCTCAAACAGTACAAAGGTACATATTCGAGGAATAAATCATCTGTCTAAATTTGAATAAACGTGATGGAGAAAGTTGGGAAAAAAAGTTAAAGGGTTCCTAATGGTCTTATAATGACATGATAGCTTCGTGAAAAAGTAACAATTTTAACATCTTATGTTTTACATTTTATTGCAATAGAATTAACTTTGTTTCAAGAAATGGAGATGTAGACATATTTATTGATGCGTATAAGGGGGTTTTCGGGATTAAAATACAAATACGGACGAATTATATGGAAAACTTACAAAAAATGTCATATGATAAATTATCTCTCACGCCTTTCTATTACAGCTTCAGAGGATTACAACTGTCGAGGAATAATCTTTCTATGGTTCTGATATGAAAACCAAAACTCAATAATTGCAAAGAAAGTTGCTGCATTAGCTATGACTGGAAAAAAACGAGCGAAGTTTTTTTTTGCTTTCAGGTTTCTTAGTTCCTTTATAAGGTTAATGGCCTGTATAGGTATTTGAAAGGCACTATATTTTTATTAAAATCTATTTGTAAAATTTTATTATTGCAAAATAGTCAGTCCTGGGATTACGCTGGACTATAAAAGTAAAAGAGGTTCTCATTTTGATATTGATAAATTCAATATGATGTTTTAATCCCATTCAAATATATTCCATATATTTGTATCTTGAAAAAAAATCCATACCTATGGCATTTTGGGTTCTAAATAAGTATGTAGAAATTCGTTCACTGTAATCTAGGTTTCATTTTCATATCGGAACAACGGGAGTTCGGATCTAAACCGGTTCGGATCTAAACGATGCGACAATTTTTGTAGTATGAAAACGTATATATCAGCATTAGCATTAAAGAAGAGTGTATAAATTTGCGTTGAATGTCGCAAAATATTTATACGCTCGTCCATAAGGGTCAACGTAAAAGTTTTTATTGATGGACCATGTCCGCCACTATGTTGAAAATACGATAGAGATCGAAGAGGACTTTGGTATTTTAAAGGTTTTTTTTTCCATTTTCCAACCGAATTAAGTATTCCTAGTACTGAACCGTTATAAACATTAAGAGTTACAAAACAAATACAAGTCCATATTTTGACAAACAATTATTAAGCATTCCGAGTTCAGAATGAGTAAAATACTACTTTGCAGATCTTTCTCCATTAAGGCAAATGTTTTGAGATTGCATTTATATAAATAGCTTTCCCAATTTTTGGTATGTTAAAACCCTTGTTATTTAAACAATCAATTTTAGTGCCATCACATCTTTATTAATCATCACAAAACCAATCTATGATCCTTTACCATAGGGAGCAGCACTATTAACCGGTACATAAAAATAACCACTTACACCATAATTAGAAGGTGCACCCATACGCACCGAACTATATGTCGAACCACATTGATTGCCAACTGCCGCAGTATAGGTACCACATTTCATGCAAGGAAAATCATTTTTACGCAAAGCTTCCGAATAGTAAATATAGGAACGACTATGAGCACATGATCCCGTCAAATCGACACCGCAACCAGGTTGCGTCTTTCCTCCATTCGGGTAGAAAGCTCCTTTGCCAATGGGTTCCAAGAAACCCAAAGTACCACCATTTGTTTGAATCGATTCAACGTAACTAGCATCAGTGGTGCACAAACGAGTACTACAGTCCGAATAACTGAAAAGGGGTAAAGCAGGATCTAACCCTACAATTGTGTTGACCTTGCCTCTCTTGACAAGTTTTCCAGCATATCCCGAAACATGGGCACCCAAACTATGACCGATGAGACCAAGAGTGGAAAACGGCATGCCTCCTTTGTCGTTAAGGAAATCAATAAAATTGGCAACCAACTGACCAACATTTGGCACATCATAACGGGCACTGGCATAATTGATGGTCTGGGCGCTAGAACTCCAATCGACACAGAATACATTGTATGAACCGCTGGCTAACAGGGCTGAGCGAACATCTACATTGACATCGGACAGATAATTGTTATTCCAACCGTGAATAACAAAACGTGTTGGGTTGTTTTTGTTGAAGTTCGAAGCGGCCAAGGCATTGGCATCGTTCACAGTAATTTGTTTAGGTGTGGTGGGATTTGATTTCGTATATAAATAGAATTTCACCTGAACTGCACGAGGTTCGATGGAGGCCACTTCCATATCATACTGTTCGCGCGTCATCCATTTAAAGCCGCCATCGATTTGAGGCACCAACCAACCTTTGGTATTGGAAAAATCAAAGCTGGTGCCACCAATAGCTGTAGAGAAATAAAACACATTTCACCATCAATTCGCAACCTTCACAATTCAAATGAAATCTCTAGAACCTACCCACAGCTATGAATGTAAACAGCAATGCAATTGTCAACTTCATTTCTATAGCAATAAAATACCCAACAAAGAATACCGGCTTATATGCTCTTACCTCCAAAAATATTGTCCAGTGATAGTACAGTTGATATCATTAAAAATTATCACTTTAGATTTGGTTCGAATTATTTTAGTGCACAGTTAAAGAGTAATTCAAATGAAAATAGTTCTTTTTGTTCTTTTATCAGTTCTGAATTTGACATTCTGATTGGTTGAAATGCGTAAGCAATAAATAAATGCTCTTGATAAGTTTGTTACTTGCAATAGCGATCAAAATCTCAAGTGTCGGTGAATATTAAAAACGATTTACCGTTCATTGTTATGTCAAATAAATTAAAAAAATATATAAAAATATATTCAATCGAAAGTTATTAAATTATTTTATTGGTATATATATTATTAAGCGGACACATTAAATCTTGAAATTTTAAATAATTTTGTGTTTGCAAAATAGTCAGGCTGAATCCCAGTTTATTGTTTTTATAAAAAACTAATATTTATTAGCAGGGGCATTGTCCGTAAGGCAGGGAAGACTATAGTTTCGGATCTCGCCACTGATCCTCATCAGTTCCCTTAGTTTTTTTGTATCCCAAATAAATAATTGTATATAGATCGCCACACTACGTGTTTATTTTGCCAGCAAGTAGAAACGGCAATATGCTTGATCAGTCTAAAGTTATATCGAAGCCTAAACTGATTTGAACAACATGAGAGAATGTACACTTTGCTACGACAAAAATTTGCCTCATCGAAATAGTGGATTTAGACCCCATATATTTTTGGTCCAACTCAGTATCAAACAATTTGAATTCGATTTACAAATGTCACTCCCCTGTTTTCCCATCTAGTGAGCACGGTAACTCTCAAAGGTAGTAACTGATTTCGTCCTAACTTTGCACATCGTAATATTTCTTCCAAACTTAAATCAAGCTCGAAGATAGGGAATATCGGTTCACTCCTTATGGCACCTCCCCCACAAAATGATCAAAATTCTGCTAAAAATAATTTTCTAATATCATGAGAACGAACTATCTGATTTGAACCAAAATTTGCACCACCTATTAACATTCCCAAGTCTATTTGAACCAAACTTTGCTCCACAAAATGATCAAAATATTGCTGAACATTAAGTTTATTGAACTAAACCACTATACGATTTTAACCAAACGACTTTGGGCCAGGAAAGTGAAAATTATTACCAATTTTAAGATAATCATAAATATTTGGTATGCTAAACTCAGTAGTGCCAGAGAATATTTTAATGGCTGTAGCTTCAAACACGGACACTCCATTATTTGGCACTTTTGGGATTTTGATCACAAGCTTCAACCAAATCGGCTATATTTCAAATTTAATCAAGCTATCCTTATAAAACATAAGCCAACTATTTCATTTCATTTTGATATTAAGATATGAAATATTTAATTATACCCTACACAGCTATGTTGTCAGGGTATTATAGTTCTGTGCAGCCCCAAGAATTTGTAACGCCGAGAAATATTAGTCCTAGACAAACAAATGTTTAGGGGATGAAATGACCAACAACTTTATTTTTTCTGTTTTTCTAATGCTCTATAGGCCACAGTTATGACCCGAACACACCGAAATTTCACACCAGGAAGAGAATCTGGCCAAAGAGTAAGCATGGATGTTTTAATGTCGATCGGTCGATATTTAGTCGGTGCGGCGAACGATTAAAATACGCTCTTACGAATGCTTACATCGAGAATTCGATTGTTTTCAATTTATCGCGAATTATAAAGTTATAAAGAATGAACAAGCATTTGTAATCTCTCACGAATATTCACATTGTACGAAAAATTTACGTACGATAAACCTTCACTGCAAGCGTCGTCGGTTCGATCATTCGCGAAGATTCATTGCTGAAGAACGTTCTTTCGAAAAACTCAAAAAACAAAAATATCGTAACAAAAGTAAACACACATAGCGAAAGAATGTATATAGAAGAGAAAGTATTGGGCATGTGTGGAACGTTTGTTGTTTTGACCATCGCGAAGGGAATGTTCGTTTTCATTGGTGAGCGAATGTCAGAAAGAATTTCAATCACCAACGCCACGAACGATCGTTTCTGTGCGTTCTCACTCGATTGTTATGTGCGTGCGAACATTAGTTTGGCGAATGCTCGTTTTGTAAAGATTTTATTGCCATAAATTCTGGGACGTATATATTTACTCCTGAAGGACATGGACCAATTATATTGTTGCATGCACTCGGATGTGGAACTTATACGTAAATATTTAAAGGTGGCTATATGATATTGTTTAGTTTTACTATTACCCCACTAAAGGTCGGAAATGTCGCGCTGATCGCTTTGACATTTCACATGAACTTCCTGTTATGGTCATGGACAACGGCTACAATTTTTGGTGATCTTCAGATGATATTTATGGAGTGCAATAAACTTAAAACTTTATTTTTCAAGATTTTCTAGTCGCACTAGTGACCATTATTATATGCAGAACATAACATATTTTACACGGTGAAGGGAATCTGACCAACTACTTAGAACGGCTTATAATACTCCACTAATATTATATTTAAAGTGTTATCCGAAATGTATGTATATATAATATAGAGTAGTTTCTAAGTTTTATTTTAAAGATGTATACTTCCAAATCTGTAGATTTTCCTGCCCTTGACACAGAACTTCATCAAAGAATTAATAAATTACTTAGAGATACTATAAATAACTACTACTACTACACAAACATAATCAGATATGTTTTTGTCTAACTTACTAATGACACGACTTCCGTGGCGACATAAAGTCTTATCGATGCTATCGTCAATTTGGATTAGTGACACGGAAAACAACAACATCTAAATCTATCGGAAACATACGGTAGTTATTTACTCTGAAATAAAATTCCAACAAACTATTTTATAATTGCAGTGCAAGCGATGTAACCGATAGCAAACTAAAGTTATTTTCTTTGGTATGTGATTTTATTGTCGATTTATTGGTAAATCTTATCTTCTTCTTTAACACCATGTCACTTCATTAAAACGACAACAACATAAAGGAATTGTGATTTGTATTAAGTCTATACGATATTTTCTACATGTCTTTTTTATGTGGTGGCAATAACAATTGGATTATATTGTTATTGTACCTTCTCGTACACGTTTACATGTCTATGATTGATATAGTCCGGCTTGTCCAAGGTCAGTTATAATACATTTACCCTCATATTCTTATCAAATTATCACAAGTTCATGGGATCGATATAACATTCATTGATACCGCAATCCGATTATATTAGTTGCTGTCCGGAAAATTGAAAGAAATTTTCTGTTCAAAGAATTTGTTGTTAATACGAGACAGTGTCACCATAAACCATACATAAATATGCAAGTCATCAGATTTGCTGTAAGATAAAAATATGCGTTTTTCGAACTCGAACGAATTTCAATACTGATTGTTAGGCCAAATCATAAAAATTTAATATTGGTTGAAAAAAAAAAAATATTTTAGAATCCAAACTGCAATGAATTCGAAGAGGCTTATACTATACTATTTCTTATTTAAGTGTAACTAATGATAAATTTTAATTGAATAGGAATTTATACCGAACCACATGCACACATACAAATAACAATATTATAATCAAATTGAAAATGCAACTAATTGGCATAAATCAGAATACTCGCAGTATTGAATGCTATATGCAATCAATAAAATTTTGTATAAGGAACTACTTGGACATTAAGCTACTTTTGCGAAAAATGTATTCATTTTATATTCTTAAATTTAGCAGAGTAGTTCGGAAACCTTATAAAATATATATTTGTCAATTTAGCAGTGTTCGTCTGTCAATACTCAGTACTTTGGGCACGTTTTTCAGCTGAATTGGCTGTAATTTGGTACAACGAAAATTAGCAAACTTTCTGCCAAAATGACTATTATATTGTATTCTTTTATTAGGTAGAAAATTCTTCTACCAAAAATTATTAATATTGATCCAAGTTTCAGGGTATGTCTTTTATAACAGTACCCTTCATTATAATTCCTTCACTGGTATTTCGTTTGTTCTAGCATAAGAATATACAAGTTAGATAGATTTTAGGTGGCCATGTTATGGTTCGGCCGAAATTAACAACGTCTTGCCGTGAGATAGAGACATTCTTTAGAATTTCTTGAACAATTTCGTCAAACAAATAAAAAAGTGTCAGTGGGTGTTGTCGGCCGATATATATCATCAGCATATAGTGTGCGGAGGTCTCATTGGTAGTGTCGAGAATGTGCATGTTTTATTAAATTTAAAATTTCAAAATTGTGACAGTTTGTGGAAGATGAAATATATAGCCGATAATTATATTTATATCCTTCACCACTCTGTGGTACAGGGTATTATGTCTTTGTGCATATGTTTGTAACAGGCAAAAGGAAACGAAATAGACACATGGAATAGTGTGTGTCAAGTTTCCAAAAAATCGGGTCAGATTTAGATATAGCTGCCATATATATTTTCGTCCGATTTAATGTAAATTGTACACTAAAGACTCAAAGTTTGGCTGACCGGCACACAATTTTGTACAATGTACTGAAGTTACTATAACCTTTCGTGTGTCAAGTTTTCTTGAAATCGGTTCAGATCTACATATAGCTCCTATATATACTTTCGTCCGATTTTAAGTAAATGTTGCACTAAAAACCCATAGCAAGACCGATTGACACAACGTACTAAAATTAGTATAAATTAATCTCTGGCAAGTTTCCTTGAAATCGGTTCAGATTTAGATATAACATAACTTCCATACATAATTTCGACCTATTCATGCTTATTGTACACCAAATAATCAATGGGTGCCTGATTGATATGAATTACATTTGAAACAGTGAAACATACCAAATAGCGTGTGTAAATTTTACTTTAAATCTATTTACAAAAATTAGAATAGGTTGCAGAATGGCATGTGTTGGTATTGATCTAAATCGGTTTACTTAGAGATAAAGGTCGCATATTTAAGTATGTTCAATTTCATGTCAATTGACACAATACAATATACTGGTTTTCTTACAATCCCACTGGTTTTTTTATCGAAGAGTTGACCATGAATGGGTTAACCATTAAAACTCAGATTTGACAATCAAAACCGACTTTATGCTTATAGGTCCATGTTTATACATTTTTTTCCTATCCCATTAAGGTAATATGATAGTTCAAGTCATATTTCATTTTTAAATATGACTATAAAAAGATAGTTCGGGTTTTAAAATAATAGAAATCCTCTTCATAGAATATCCCTTGTATTAAGAGTACGGGGTTCATGGCTTACGTTCCAACTGAAATGGCTATAATTTGGCATTCTGTGTCCCTTATGAGTAAAGGGACGAATAGGGCTAGTGGCTTCTGTAAAAGGATCGTGTGTAAAAAGTATCAAATGTTACTAAATCAAGTGAAAGTTCGTATTTTAAGATTACGAAGTCTATTGAATGCATAGAGCTGAAGAACCTGGGGTCTTTGGAAATTCATAATATAATTCAACAAAAATCATAAATATAATCAACCTGATTTTCGAAATTTGTATTGGACGTGGCAATGAAATTGATTGATAGATTGATAATTATTTATTTTAATGGGTACTGTTTATATCTTTTTCAAAAGGATCGTGTGTAAAAAGTATCAAATGTTACTAAATTTCAAGTTATTTAGAAAGTTTTTGTATTTTTATAGATGTTTCTGCAATATTTCATTCCATTTCGAGTATTTCGTGATAAAACTTTTTAAATTTGTAAGACAATATTATTAAAAAATGGTTAACTACGATGTGTATTATTATAAAAATATTTAAAAATATAATTTTTTACAACAAAAATCATAAATATAATCAACCTGATTTTCGAAATTTGTATTGGACGTGGCAATGAAATTGATTGATAGATTGATAATTATTTATTTTAATGGGTACTGTTTATATCTTTTTCAGAAAGTACCACATAAGCTTCTGCGGACACTTACTAAACACTTTTGATGTTTTCAAAAAGTTTTTGAAATTTTAGTTTTGTTCGCGGCCGAAAACAAAACAAATACAAATTAAAATCTGACACACTATTTTCATAAATAACAATGCCACAAAATGGTGATTTCAAAAATTTTGTAGAAATAAATCATCTACTAAAATTTAATATATATATATATAAAGCAAATATTAATAAGTAGTTTTGAAGTGCTATTAATTTGCACTCTACTGTATACTGAAATGTGCATCCGAGGAACTTCTTCACTACCATTCAAGGTTTTTGCAAAAATCATATGGGAGATTATAGATAACATTAACCTGACTATGGATTGCCAATATATTTGAATTTTCATAAAAATATAAATACGTACTACAAATAAAAAATAAAAACATTACTAATAATATTTTAAAGTTTCACACCACCTCTGAACAGTTACATTGTTTATAAGCCGCATCTGTTGAATCGAGTATGCCATATGGTGAATTATTTCGAAGCGGAACATAATACACTCCACTAGCCTCTTCGCCGGGTAAAACAGCGCCCATTCGAATCGCCGACAAATCATCGCCACAATGTTTACTCACAGCTTCCTGATAATTTCCACACGCTATACTACCGAAATTATCAAATTGTAAAGCTTCGGCATAATAAATTACCGAATGGTCGTGGGAACAAAACCCTTGAATTTCATTGTTGCAACCGGGTTGATTATTTCCACCATTTGGATAGAAATCACCATGACCAATGGGTCTTTCGAATCCCAACAAACCCGCATCGGTATGAATAACTTGGACATATTCGGCATCCGTAGATGACAAACGGGTTTGTGGTATGTCATAACTGTAAAGCGGCAGTGCAGCATCCATGGCAATAATTTTTGATAGTTTGCCATTCTGAATATTCTTGCCGGCGAAACCAGCAACATGGGCACCTAAGCTATGACCGGTGACTACCAAATCTCGTAATGACATCTGGAAGTTAGTCTTAAGAAAATCAATCATTTTGGCAATTTGTCTGCCCGCTATAGGTACTGCAGCAACTGATGAGGCATAATCCCACGAACGGGCCCGAGGCCAATCAACCATAATGACATTACAATCAAACGTTCTCAGGGCGGATAAAGCCACACTCCGAAGTGTATTTGTTTGATAACTTTGGGTCCAACCGTGTATAATTATGTAAGTGGGTTTATTTCCATTAAAATTGGAATTCTCTATTGAATCCACATTGGATGATATGATGTTGCCAAAAGTGGGATTTATCCGAGTGTACAAGTGAAATGTTATAGGTGAAGTAAGCATTTCAATATCCTCTGTTATATTCGTAAAGTCGATATTCCTTTCGGTTATATTATTATCCATCCAGTAAAATACGCCATCCCCGTGGGGAATATACCAACCATTTTCACCATGAACTTGTGATTCGTTGTTGTCAAATGGCTGATTGGCTGAAACTAAGAGACAATGACTTTTATTTTTGTCCTATTTTGGGTTACAAATTCTTATTCTTACCGGTTAAAATGCCAACTGCAAGTAATCCAAAGGCTATCATATTTGACTACAATACACTTGAGTTTATTCGCTGAGTTTTTATAGTACTTTGTTTACATTGGTTTTGGATTTGCATACAATAAGCGAATATCAAACGAAATTCAAATTAACCGAATTAGCCTAAATGCAAAACGAAAGAAGAACCTTGACAATTAAAGTCATGTATTCTATATGTTACAGCCGTTTGCAGGAGAAACTAGTTAAGTTGCATATACAAAGTTAAAAATGGTGCATACTAAAACGGAGTTATACATAATTTTACTGTAAGGCTAACATTTTAAAATTCAGTGCGTAAATTTTGAAATATATCATTTCAAGATTAAAGCGAGGGCTATATTTATTTCGGTCCTAATGATGACATGGTTGTAACAGGCAAAAGGAAACGAGATAGACACACGTATTAGATTTAGATATAGCTCCCATACGAGTATATATTTTCGTCCGATTTAATGTAAATGGTACACCAAAGTCCCTATATATCTTTCGATTTGCACGAAATTTGGCACAGTGTATTGAATTAAGCCCAGAATGATGTGTGTTAAGTGTCGTGAAAATCAGTTCAGATTTAGATATAGCTCCTTTATATACTTTCTTCCGATTTTACGTAAATGGTGTACTAAAGTCTCTGTATATATGTATATTTGGCATAGCGTACTTGATTATGTTTAAGATGACATATTTTAGAAATAGATGGCAGATACTTCATTTTAATTTTATAAATGAGAGCCAGATAAAGTAGAAGACGTATGGTCACCTTATTTAGACCTTTTCATGTACCCAACCAATTTTCTGATAATCGTTGAATACGATTTTTTCTGGTGACAAGCCACGACGATACAGCCACACATAGGCAATGTTTGAGCCGATGTGTGAGAGCTCGTATTGCCTCCTGTTTGTTGTTCATACTATTTCAGAGACTTCAGCAAACACTTTGTGGTATACTACTTATAATTGTACCACTCAGATAGGGCAACCAATTATGTATATTTCTTCCACGAACAACTTTCATAGGATTTGACTCGCCATCAAAGACCCACATAGTCGATTGCAAGTTTGTTTCGGGCTCATACTGATAGATAGTTCATCATCTGTGAAGATATATTATGAAAGTTCTTTGACACATCGCGGTGATATTTATACCCTACACAACTATGTTGTCAGGGTATTATAGCTTTGCGCAGCCCCAAAAGTTTGTAACGCCGCGAAATATTGGTCCTAGACCCACCTTTAAGTATACCGATCGTCATATCTCGACTACCTGAGTCGATCTAGAAATGTGTGTCCGTCCGTACGTCCGTCCGTCTGTCCATTATAATTTGTAAACACGATACAGGCCACAGTTATGGACCAATCTTCACGAAATTTTGCATGTAGGATGGGTTCTGACCAATGAAGACCCCTATTGTTTTTGATAAAGATCGGTTAATATTTAGGGGATGAAATGGACCAAATACTAAATTTTTGTCGGTTTTTGGTCGCTCCAGAGGCCGCAGTTTTGATAAAGATCGGTCAATATTTAGCGGGTCAAATTGACCCTGACTTTTGTGTGAAAAATTACAATTTTTTTATTCTGGGGCGTATATACTTGCTCCTGAAGGACATATACTCGAGATGTTGATAGTATGTCCAAGATGAGTTGTTGACCTTCAAATTGATACCAATTATATGGCTGTATGTACTCCGATGCGGGAGTTATACGTAATTAATTAAAGGTGACTATGTGCATATTATTACTATTACTCCATTAGAGGACGGAAATCTCGCGCTGATCGCTTTGAAATTGTACTTGAAGGTCCGATTATGGTCAAAGACGATGCTTATAAATTTCGGTGAAGTTGAGATTTCATTCAGGGCGTACAATGAACCGAAAACTCTAGAGGCAATTATTATATACAGAACATCACATATTTTACAAGGTGAAGGGGATCTGACCAAATACTTAGAGCGGTTGTTTAGATGATGATCGGTCAATTTTCCGAGTGTCAAATCAACCAAAACCTAAAGTGACCAATTTTTTATTGTATGACGTAAAAATTCACTTCAAGAAAAAACATTTTGGAAAATATGCAAGACTTAGAAAGAGGAGTTGTTGATCTATAATCGGTAAAAAGGGTGCAAATATCACGAAATATTGCCCAGGCTTTTCGTAGTAGTTGTGTAGGTCTTCCTACCAAAGACAATCAATATTGGTAAACATTTTACGAATCCTCCAAAAATTCAGTAAAATTCAGTATTTTCCATTTTAGGTTTGAGGCAAGGCGGAAACATTTTTGCGACAGGCATTTTCGTGCATTTAACAGAGCAGACAGAAGTATCTTCAGGTTGCATAGGCAACCCCCTTAATTTCCTTAAGGACAAGTTTTACAAATAATTTCTTGGTAACAAACCCTAACAAGGGCTAAATAGCTAATTACACACTACATTAGTAACTATTATTAGGTAATTATTACCCTACAAAATAATAAGAAATACTAATAAATATCTTAAAACCTATGTTTTACATTCCTTTTATTCATTTAATACACCATAGGGGGCGGTTTTATATACAGGAACATAGAAAATACCATCTACATCGTAGATATCATAAACTGCTCCCATACGGACCGAGGAGAACTTGGCACCACAGCTATCAGCCACGGCTTGCTTATAGTCAGGGCATTCAATAGCACCGAAATCGTCTAATTCCAATGCTTCAGCATAATATTCGGTTGAACGACCGTGAGAACAGGCTCCAGTAACATCCAATACACAACCAGGTTGTTCCTTGCCGCCATTTGGATAGAAGGCACCAGCTCCGATCGGTTTAAGGAAACCCAAAGTACCACCATTGGTTTGAATAGATTCCACATAGACGCCATCGGTTGCAGACAAACGCTTCTTGGGCTTGTCATAGCTGAACAGGGGTAGGGCAGGGTCCATACCAATGATTGTGTGGATTTTGCCATTCTGAACATTTTTGCCAGCATAACCGGCAACATGGGCACCCAAACTATGACCGGCCACGGTCAAAGTCTCGAAAGGCATATTGTAGTTTTTGTTCAAGAAATCGATCATTTCGGCAACCTTTTTGCCAACCTTGGGTACAGCAATTACCGAGGTGGCATAGTCAACCGAACGAGCACGGGCCCAATCCACAACAATTACATTACAGTCGAATCTTCTTAAGGCAGCGGTACGGATTTCCTTGTTCATGCCGGAAGTATAACTTTGAGTCCAGCCATGGATAACGAAGTATGTGGGTTTTGAGGCATCAAAATTGGAGGCATTAATCGATTTGAGGGTGGCAACAATTTGTGTGCCTTTGGTGGGATTAGCTCTGGTGTAGACGTAGTACTTAACGGGGACTGTTGTTAGACCATAAGTTTCAATATTTTCCATAGCTTCTAAGTAGTTCTCAGCCTCTTCCTTGGACACCCAATCAAAGGTGCCATCAATTCGTGGCACATACCAACCATTTTCACCGTGAATTTGTCCTTCGTTGTCGTCGAAAGGTTGATTGGCAGAGACTAAAAAATTGCAAATATAAAGTATTAAAATTTTCAAACAACGGTCTATGTTTTGTATAGTTTTCAGATTTTCTTCTTACCGCTCAAACAGAAAAGGGCGAGAATCCACAAGAATTTCATTTTGCTGAATGTCATGTTCTTGGACACGCACAATGGCTATTTATACGGATTTTCCATTCTTTGGTGCACAGTTAATATGTTTTGTCAAGGAGTTTTTGATTGTGCATTTAGATTATGTAGTATCACGTCAACCTGATGGTATTGATAAGGCACCAAGACACCCAACGGTGCACAGTGTGGCGTTCCATAGCTGTATATCGGCTCAGAGCATTCAGTAAACAAAATGTATCAACTAGTCCCTTTTGCAGTATATATTTCAGAAAATTGATTTAAAATCCATGTTGCAATAGGGTGAAATTTACAGTTTTGATATAGAATCATATATGTTGATCTATAACTATAACGTTTCCCATATATTTGACCTCTTACTATTTTCACCAGCTGACTATAGATTTTGTAACACTGTGCTGCTCGTGTCATAGATTATATGTGCGATTTTATATTTATTCACTCAAAATCAAAACAATGGAATTTTCAAAAAAATCATTGTCTGATATAAGTTATAGATATAGACTACGAAAGTTCGAAACATTTGGGGTCTTCTATTAAGCTGATAAAGTGTCACATTAATAAATTATTAAAATTTTTCCTTTCATTTGTTTAACTTGCAAAGCTGAGGCAGTAAACAGCTACAAAGAATGGCATATGCAAGCTAAAATAATTAGTTTTCTTCTGTAATTTAGAAGTACATTATGTTGCATTCAGGCATACATATAGAGGAATATATGGACTTGGAAGGCATCAGAGATGATGGTACATATTATGTTTCGTATCGATATTAAGATCTGTCATATTTAGATCACATAGCATTTACTATTCTTTTAATATAAGGTAGATGTTTTATAAAAGAAGAAACCGTCTGTCTTATAGACGCCATATGCCATCAATGGTTTAAATTGAGTTCCGATTCGCTTCAAATAAAACATACACCGTTTCAAAATGTTTACCCTTTGTGAGGGAGTTACCAGCAGGAGATCGAACGTACTGGTTCTGGGTTTTGTAAAAATATTACGATGTGTTAAAATCAAATCAAAAATAATTAATATTGGATTTATACATATTTAGCATTTTGAGAATTTGTAGGGCAGGTACCAACTGGAGTGGGCCGAAGGGTCTCACTTTTAAACTTTATCCAGCCTTTGTAAAAATATTATGACAGTTGCATAAAATTGTAATTTTTTGTTCGCTTTCTATGACATTTTTAAAATATTAAATCTTTATGAAGGAGGTGCTAAGAGAAATGACCGAAAAAATCGCATCCACCCTGACAGATAGAGGGACGGACATTTGTAAATCGACTCAAAATTTTTTGAAACAGATCTGGTCCAAAGGAATATTTCGATGAGGCACATTCTTGCTGCAGGGTATACACTGCAGTAAAAATGTGTGAGGGGTCTTCAGATGCGTCAATTGTTAAATGAATAGATTTTAGTATTAAATAGCGTGAATTTGTTTAAGAGTACAAATCGAGGTTATAAATAATGCCTAAATTTCATCAAAAACTGATATAAACAAATATGTTTTCTGTAAGGATCTTCAACAGCGTAGATTTTTAAAAACTATTTATAAGGATCTTCTTAAGTTTCTACTTTTTTTAATATATTTATTAGTTTTTAAAAATTTGGATTTTTATCATTTTTAAACATGTTAAGAAAGTGATTTAATTTTTAATATTTTTATTGGTCTTTAGAGCGTAAATTTTTTAGGAAATATTTTTTAAGTGAGGATCTAAAAAATATCATCAGAAGCGTATTATATTTTTTAATCTATTTTGTTTACTAATACTAGACATGGTTTTTATATAATTTTAAAGGTCCAGCAATAGTTTGGATTTCTGAAAACCTTATATACAGCCAGCAAACACTGAGATTCTGAAATTCTTCGCAAATTTTTTTTATGTTAAACAACATAAAACGAAGTTCAGCATGACCGAACATTTTACACACTCCTCCATGAGGATGGCATTCAAAATATGTAAAATGAATAGGGGGTGGCGTAGGGGATGATAGATACCAAGCAACGGCTCTGATTGGCTTTAACGAGGCGAAGCCCGGGCTTATCTTGTTCCTCTTTCATCTCAATTGTGGACACTGACCTCCCCGTGGTGTCACCTAGGGTAGCTATTTTCATCATCCGTTTAAATAGTGAGTTGATATGTGCCGCGAGTTCGCCCATACGATCTCTATCGTGACTTCAACAGACGGAAAACAGAAAAGAGGGAAAACATAAATCAACATAAAATTTTATTTTGATCAAAAATATATATACATAGGGTCTTCGGTGAATATTTCAAGGAAACACGAATTTAATATACACTCCACCTTATGATGGACGGTATAAGAAATCTCAAGCGCTAACAGAGGCAGTGGACGAAATTACATTTTTAAGAACAATCATATAATATTTGAAAAATTACTTCTTCAAATGAATATTTTTTCTAAGAATACTTTTGCAAGACCCATCAAGGTTTTCAAAATAAATGTTATTTAAAGCCATCGGAAGCGCATTTTTTTAATACATTGTTCAAAGAACACAAAGAGAGTGATTTTTTTTAATAATTTTTCATTACCATACGAAAGTGGACATTAAAAAAATTATTAAAAAAAAAGACTTGGATTTGTTAAAAAGTATTTTTTGGACTTCAAAAAATATTTTCTCTGAGAGGGTAAATATTACGGACATTTATATTTTCCTAATCGTTAATAATGAAGCCGTTTTATACAGGAAACAAACGGCGGAATCCAAAAGCGCGGACCTTGGAAGTTGTTATATACGATTTTGGCTGCTCCCAAAATAGGATGTCCGATATTAAATAAGAATGTTATATGTATCATATCGAATAAATTTGTTCCAGGGCTATTGATAATATTTGTTCTGTGAACGGTAGTACACAGCTTTTCAGATACATATATATATATATATAGGTCCGTAAATATTATTTAGGCGGACAATGTAAGGGGAACTCATGCCAAAACGAGTAATTCCTAAAGGAATTATTGCTCCCTTATGTCTACACGGCTCATTTCTATGGACTTCATAAATAATACTTGCGCCAACCACAAATGCGTTCTCATTAGTGATAAATTTATAATCGTGTATAAATTAACTAAATTTTAACCAAATCTAAAAAAATGTCATCCTTCTTAATATATACGCATACATAATACACAATTATCATCAATGGTACAAGAACATTTGTAGAGGCTTTCTCATGTTATCTTCCTTACGTTTTTTCGCTGAAGTGAAAAACTAAGGCCTTACAACAACTCTCCAAAACATGGAATAAAAGTAAATAATATGGCGTAAAAAGTTCGTGTGTGGTTATCTTCGAATTGCCAATAAACAACAATAATATGTCAAAAGAAATTATCGATAATCTGAACACTTCAAATTGTTGTGTATAAATTAGAAAATCAAATGTTCTTGTCACACAAAGAATAGATAATAATAGATAATGCCTAAATGAAAACAGAAGCAGTGACAGTGTTAAATATTATTGTTCAATTGCCACTTAAACAAAGCTGATTAGCTAGCTGAATCTATTTTGAGCGAATGAAAAACTAATCTTAAGTCAATATCTTAAAATAACATATGTTTTCTTGTTTAGTAGTACTCAACAACTAGAAATATTTTCTAGAATGTTTATTTAAAAAAATGATTCAGATTAAATTACAACTAGAGTAACTTCGGGTAATGTGGACCAGGCGTCTAATGTGGTCCACCCCCCAGATCTAAGAAAATGCTTGAAATATGTCAATGCCGCCTTGATAAATGTTTTCATAATTAGTGAAAACAAACATCAAACTTGGTTTTTAATAAATAATTGCAATATTGAAAATTTAGTAGTAGAAAATTGTAAAAGTGTGTTTTGAAAATTTTTTAGCACAATAGTCGAACGTTTTTGCAAAATAGTCGAACACTATGTTTTTATCGAATATAAATAAGTTATGTGGTTTTCTTGTTTTCTTTAACAAAAATATACGTTTTAGCTGTAATTACAATCGGTGATTTTTAATTTTTATTAATTTTCGAAGCCGATAATTATTTTTAAACAAAAATATTCAATGTCGTGTAATGTGGACCACTATAAAAAAGTGGGACCTTTTCATGAGGACGAGTTCGAAAAATAGGCGCATTTTATATGCGAGGAGGTATTCTATCCTCTGAAAACTCGATATGCGGAATTAGAGGTGCTTCGGTTGGATAATGAAGCAAGGACCTTCAAAATACCGCAAATGGGGCGGTACCCTTATATGGGGGCTATTCCAAAACATTAACTTATATATTTTTGCATTCATTGTTACCCAAGAGTGCAATAAATTAAAATTTATCACAACCAATCCACAATCTACCTTTAACTTACTGATCCTCATTACCCACACATACTGGTCCACATTACACGCCAAGTTATTTTTATTCGCAGTTTAGAGTTTTTTGAAATACAATGCACTAACATTTTTATAGACAAATATATATAATAATCGACCTGGAATATATTTAGCCAACAAATCTACTATGTTGTGAAAACAATTTGTTTTCATTTTTTACCGTTGTTACGCCCACAATATCAAAAAAAGAAAATGGTGGTCCACATTACCCGAAGTTACTCTACTTTTTCGCAAATTTTTAAAGGATTTTATATTGGAATTAATAAAATGACGTAATGTTTTTTTATATATTTTTCCAAGGCTCTTGCCACTTCAAAATAAGTCAACTCTAAATTGATTCATAAATCGATGCTCAACGCAGAGAATCATTGAAAAGTTTCTAAAGGTCGGGTTTTGCTCAATAGGTAGACAATTTTAATTATTTTCTGGACTTTGTCATAAATGTACCAGTTGTGATGAATGGCTTAATCCATGATTTCTTTTAACTCATACCACTTACTTCAACAGACCATTCGACATTATCGCCTCTGAATGTTATACTTCATTGGCGTATGCAAAATCGGGCTTGCAACATTATAAAATCCCCACATAACAGATCTACCCGTTCTCTTGTTGGGAAACTAAATAGATTCTCCAAAACATAATCGATAAAAGCAGAATTTTTAATGAATTTGTAACGCTACGAAATATTGGTCCTGGATCCACCTCTAAATATATCCCGACTAGCTGAGTCGATCTAGATATGAGTGTCCCGCCGTCCGTCTGTTAATTATGATTTGTAAACGGGCCACAGTTATGGATCAATCGTCTCGAAATTTTGCATGTAAGATGGGTTCTGGTCAAAGAAAACCCATATTATTTTTGGTAATGATCCGTTAATATTAATTTACCAAAAACTTTAGTTTTGTCTGTTTTTTGGTCGTTCTAGAGGCCACAATTAGGCCAGGAAGGGAATCTGGCCAAAGAAAAAGCATGACTGCTATGATGTAGATCGGTAAATATTTAGCTGGTCAACTGGACGCAGACTTTTGTGCGAATACTGACAAAACTTGTATTCTGTGGCTTATATATTCTTCTAAAGGACATAGACCCGAGAAGGAGTGTTTGGCCTTTAAATTGATACCAATTATATTGTTGTATGGACTCCGATGTGGGAGTTATACGTAAATATTTAAAGGTGGTTATGTGTTATGATACTGTTTTAGTTTTACTATTGTCCCACAAGAGGGCGCTGATCGCTTTGAAATTTTACTTTAAGTTCCGGTTATGGTCAAGGATGATGCCTACAAGTTCCTTTGATGTTGAGATGAGATGATATTTAAACAATGAGCCGAAAACTTTAATTTTTGCCTGATTTTATAGTTGCACTAGAAGCTATTTTTATGTGGTGACCAGAATCTGACCAAATACTTAGAACGGCGGCTTAGATGATGATCTCTTAATATTCCGAGGGTCAAAAGTGACCAAATTTATATTTATAGCGTAAATATTCACCTCGGGAAAACTAGATTTGAAAAATCTACCAGGGTTAGAAAGTGGAGATGTTGACCTATAATCGGTCAAGATCGTGTGAATATTGCCAGGCTCAGAATATAGAACCGCATAAAGATAGATTTTCTGGGTATCATATGGTCGGCCCCGTCCGACTATACTGTCCCGCTGACTGGTTTATTTACAATATATTATATGATGGATATCATTATAAACCCTATCATATCCAAAGTATTAGGACCCGACATAAATATATAACTCTTTCAAATTGTATGAAATCGAAGTTAAAAGGTTGACATGAGTATTTGAAGTTTTTCCTAAAGCCAGGTTCAATACTCCTCCGAACGATCAATCGCAGATGCCAATCAATAACACATATTCCCAAAATATACATAAGTAGCATTGTAATATACAGAGCCACAAAATATTTAGGATGGTAGTCTAGATCAAGTTTGAAATGGGTCCTATTTTCAAGCTTGATCTAGACTTGGTAATGGATCGTCCGTTTGCATGGTATTATAAAAATAATGTTTAGCAAAATGTTGGCCATTGTGCGTGGTGGTGCCAGAAGTAGTGGGACGATATTATCTTCGAACTTAAACTACGTTTGGAAGAAATATTACGATGTCCATTTGAGAGTTATCGTACGCCGTCTACGGATAGGCATTTGTAAATAAAATCCAAATTGTCTGAAATGTGGATTTGGTCCAAAGAATAAAGGGATCTAAAGCAATATTTGGATAAGGTAAATTTTTGCCCTGTATATATCCTCATTAGCCATAAGGCTGAGGGTATACATATACAACACAAAATATGCAGCCACAATGTTCTCCACATGAGTGGTCCAAAAGTGAGTGGTCCAAATAAGGTTCCTACTGACAATACTGAGTAATAGTGTTCAAATACCGATCACAAACTATGACAATATATTGGTTGAAAAGTTTCTGAGCTTAGAATTCTATAAGAACAAGGTCAAGATTAAAAAGTCGCTGGCTGAACTTGGTGATCTATGGATATTTTTATAGGTTTCTTTTGGCATGCTAATTTATATTATACACAGTGAATTAATATTCAGATATTCTTTTAAATAGTGATCCTTTTTTAGATAATTGTTAAGATACTTAGAATGATATCAGCTTTTTTGTTCCGAAGATTTGCTTTACCATGACAACCATAAAAACTGCTACATCTTTCCCAACAAAACCTAGAACAATCCAGTTCCACACCTGCAATTGATTAACCCATGCAAATTTCCAAAGTCCAAGTGACTACAAAGAATGTGATAAAAAAACTAAATGATTTAGTTATCTGCTGCACTGATAATCACTTTCTGATAGGGTTAAAAGCGTAAAGTATAAAAGGAAAGAATGCCCATCTGTGCGATATTATTTCGTTTAAACATGAAATATTTCGTTGTATTCGCTTTTTGTGTTGCTGCTGGTAAGAGAAATTATAAAACTCATTTCACTCAACAGAACTGTCTAGAATAAATGTTACTTTACACTAGCTTGTGCCTCAGTTATCCCTGAGGAGGATCGTGTCAACGGTGAAAACGGTTGGTATGTTCCCCAGGCCGATGGATCTTTGGAATGGGTGGACCTCGATGATGCCGAATCTTACTTAAGTCATGCTCAACAGTTCGAGGGTCGTTTGTCCACAAATCCTGTTAACTATTATCTGTACACCAAGTCCAATCCAAGCACTGGTCACGAAATTACCGCAACTACCAAATCCATCGATGCTTCTCCATTCAATGCCAAGAACCCCACCAGAATCACAATTCACGGTTGGACTTCCAGCAAGGATGATTATGTCAACTCCGGTATTCGCAAAGCCTTTTTGAGCAAGGGTGACTACAATCTCATTACCGTTGATTGGGGTCGTGCCCGTTCCGTTGATTACGCCTCATCCGTCTTGGCTGTCCCCGGTGTTGGCGAGAAAATTGCCAGCTTGGTCAATTTCTTGGTTAAAAATTATGGCATGAAATTGGAAGATTTGGAAATCATTGGCCACAGCTTGGGTGCCCATGTTGCTGGTTTCACTGGCAAGAATATTGTCGGTGGCCAGGCTCATGCTATTATCGGTTTGGACCCTGCTCTCCCCTTGTACAGTTATGATAAACCCAGCAAGCGTTTGTCCAGCACTGATGCCTACTATGTTGAATCCATTCAAACTAACGGTGGTACTTTGGGTTTCTTGAAACCCATTGGCAAGGGTGCTTTCTATCCCAATGGTGGTAAGACACAACCCGGATGTGGAATTGATCTTACTGGTAGCTGTTCTCACAGTCGGGCTGTTTCCTACTATGTTGAAGCCATTGAAAGGGACGATTTCGCAACCATGAAATGTCAAAACTACGAAGATGCCGTCGCCAAGAGCTGTGGTTCCACCTATAGCTCTGTTCGCATGGGTGCCGATAAAAATGCCTATATGGTTGCTGGTGATTTTTATGTACCAGTTAATAGCCAATATCCCTATGGTGTTTTGGGTTAAATCGATCTGAATGATGTTTTGTGAAAAATAAATTGTTTAATTAAAAATTGGTGGGAATTTAATATATTGAACTTGGTATTAAGGCTGAGAATCGAATTGGGGTCAAATGTCATATTACAAGTAAATTTAAAATTGTGTCGCATTGACCTAGTACATTGCCAGAGCATCCCTCAATTCCAAGAGAAAATATAAATTAAAAATAATTTCAAGGCGTATTTTGTGAATAGTTGTTTGAAAAGGCAAAGTTTGAGCAAAGTGTACAATTGGGTGAAGCAGACAGTTTCTACACTTCCTTGCCACTCATGAACTTTGAAGCAAAAATTTGCATAAAATTGTATCAAGTTTGCTGGCAGGTCAAGGGTGAGGGTGGGTGAGGATCACTCTTAGTCCGACGCGTCGCGACGGTGTCAGGCTGATTTTTTAGAAATTCATACTAGAACGGCACGAAAAGTGCTAAAAAGTACTAAATGTGGTACCATTTGTATTTGGCGAAAATTTAGAATGAGGATTACACATGAAATGTAGGATAGATGTTCTAAAGGTTTTTTTTGGAAATTCGAACTATATGTAACTAAAAAGTACTAAATTTTGTACTTTTTTCTAGCAAATGAGCGGATAGTGCTAAAAACCTGAAATTTGGAATGCGAATGAATGTTGAGAATGTTGCTCGGTATAAGAAGGTGGTTTTGGACATGTGTACGCATGTATACGAAAAATAGTAAGCAGTACTAAATTTAGTACAAATTGAATTGTGGATAAACCGATAGAGCTTGAATTCTGAAATTTGGAGTCAGGGTCACTGTTGGGGTGTGGGATTAGTACAATTTATGTTTAGGGTAAACCAATAGAGCTGGAATTCTGAAAATATGAAAAAAGATTTCTATTGGATTGTATTTTGTAGGTAGTAATGGAAATTTGTATTGATGCGTACTAAATATAATAATATTCGAAATTATTTGATCCCATAGAGCTGGAATCATAAAACTTGGAATTAAGAGAACTATTGAAGAACGGGATTTGGATGTATAGTACCAAATGTATAGAACCAAATTTGATACGATTTCGATTTGGAGAACCGGTCGGGCTGGAATCCTGAAATTGGGAAATATGATTTCTATTGGAAAGTTTCAACTAATTGGTACTATATTTGGTAAAATTTGGGTAAAACAATAGACTTCGAATTATTAAACTTGGAATTAGTTTTGGAAATAAGTAATACAAAAGAACGATAGGTAATACTGGTACCAAATTTAGTAAACATATAGATTTCTGCTGCGGTCAGAATTGACATGTAGTGTTGAGATATGGAGGTAGTTTTGGAAATTTGTACTATAAGAGACAAAAGGAACTAAATGGCCACTACCTGATATTCAAAATCTCAGGCTGTTGAACGTGCTTAACAGTACTCATTCAGCTGACCAGCTTCCGAGATAGTTTCGGACTCCATTTACTCAGTGGACTCCATTTACTCCAATGTGATATCTTCGTGAAGATAGAAAAATTAAAATCATAAAAGCGCACATTAATAAAAATCGAAATTTGAATGGAGAGAAGTAGCTATGCTAACCGAAACAAACGGGTTTTTACGGCAATTATAAGAATGCATAACCATTTGTATCTTACAATTTATTCTTAATTATGAAAATCCAAAGTATCAACCCTTACACTTACTAAATATTGAAGCGTATAAGTCACAATTTTAATAAATTATTAATGATAATGGTTGGTTAAAAAACTATCACTCATTCAGGGAAGGGATGAAAAGTAGGCATTCTTAGAATATTATTTATAAGTATGTCCATTTATCATATATGACCTACTTATGGCTTGGCATATATTTAAGTACTCGAAATGTGTATTTTCTTGTATGTAATTAGTTATGGAACTTTACTATTGTAATGTGTAAATAATGTGGTTCTAGTTAATTTTCTATGTACATACAAATAAGGCGAGTTTGAAAAGGATAACACCATTATATGATAATTAATGCTATGGAATATTTGCAGGTTTATTGGTGATAAGAAGTATGTTTGTGTTTAAAAACATTCATTTTTAAATCGATAAAGAAAGAACTAGTCAAAGCATTTTTTTTTAAATACGCGACTAAAAATTGCATACCATCAAGCCGATAAAGTCAATTGTAGATTTCATATCTGTCGATGCAATGAAATAGATAGAACTGAAATAGAGATAGGACAGTGTATATAAGGGACTGGCATACAATTATCTAATAATATTTCGTTTAACCATGAAATACTTCGTACTACTCGCATTTTGTGTAGCGGCCGGTAAGTACTGTGTTTTATTGTTTTCTTAAAATTCTGTCCAACGTATTCCAAATAATCCTTCATTTCAGCTTGTGCCTCAGTCATCCCAGAGGAGGAACGTGTCAACGGTGAAAACGGTTGGTATGTACCCCAAACCGATGGATCCTTCGAATGGGTCGATATTGATGAAGCCGAAGCCTATTTGGATCAAGCCCAAAAGTTAGAAGGCCGCTTGTTAAGCAATCGTGTTTACTTCTACTTGTATACCAAGTCGAATCCTAATACTGCCCATGAAATTGAACCCACCACCAAGTCTATTGATGCCTCCCCCTTCAATCCAAAACACCCCACCAGAATCACCATCCATGGTTGGAATTCCAATAGCAATGACTATGTAAACTCTGGTATTCGCAAGGCCTATTTGAGCAAGGGTGAATACAACATGATCGCCATTGACTGGACTCGTGCTCGTTCCATCGATTACGCTACTTCGGTTATGGGTGTTCCTGGAGCTGGTGAGAAAATTGCCGCTATGGTCGATTTTTTGGTTAGCAATTATGGCATGAAATTGGAAGATTTGGAAATCATCGGTCACAGCTTGGGTGCTCATGTTGCCGGTTTCACTGGCAAGAACATTTCTACTGGTAAAGCTCATGCCATTATCGGTTTGGACCCTGCCCTACCCTTGTTCAGCTACGACAAACCCGATAAGCGTTTGTCCAGCACTGATGCCTACTATGTTGAATCGATTCAAACCAACGGTGGTACTTTGGGTTTCTTGAAACCCATTGGTAAGGGTGCTTTCTATCCCAATGGTGGTAAGACCCAGCCAGGTTGTGGAGTTGATCTTACTGGTGGCTGTTCCCATGGTCGCTCTGTCATCTACTACGTTGAAGCTCTTGAAAAGGACGATTTTGCCACAATCAAATGTGAAAATTACGAAGATGCCGTTGCCAAAAGCTGTGGCTCCACCTATAGCTCCGTTCGTATGGGTGCCACGAAAAATGCTTACATGGTTGCTGGTGATTTCTATGTACCTGTGCACAGTGAATATCCATTTGGTGTTTTGGGTTAAACTGCTATTGTTTTGGAATGAAATGGTAATAAAATAAATTTCTTGACACATTGGTATTGTAGTGTTTTATTGGATAGTTTCTCATAATATTTTATAATAGACAATAACTAAGCCTCAGTTTGTCAATCATGTTTATCAGTGGACTTAGTCGTATTGTTGTATTTTAATCATATGTTAGTACTATAACTTGAAAAGTGAATGAAAATGAAAACATTTTAGTACCTTCCGTGTTTAGGTTAAAGTCGGATCGTTAAAAAAAAACCTAACGAAGCAGATTAACCCGACTAAAAATTCCAATGTAGATGTATTTTTTTTGTGAAAACTGTATTCACTTCTATAAAATGGAAATTTTTTTATTGTTTACATTCAGTGCAAAATATTGCTACTGTTTGTTTTGCAAGATAAACAATACTGAATGGTTAATAAATTATTTTAGTCACATTTAATTGGTTGATAATTTTAAACAATGTAAACAAGTAGATATTCAGCAAAAACAATTGCTAGTATTAATGTGAACGTCTGATAGGATATTTTGAACCTTCTCCTAAGTAAAAAATATAAAAATAAATATAAGAAAAATATAAAATATAAGATATATTACTTTACGATGTCTAAACGACGTCATATAAGTACAATTTGGGAAATGCCACGACTCAGTCAAGACGATCGACGTAAAGGTGGCGTGAAAGTCTATTTTTATGATTGGAACACAAAGAAGTTATTTTTTCATGAATGGAAGGAAATAAAATTGTAAGATTATATTTAATTGATTTGTGCGTAATTTTATTTCTTGAATATGGTAAAATGTGTAATTGTAATGTAATTTTTTGAAAATCAGTAAAACGATTACTTATCAGTAGCAATTCATATTTATAGAGCTCGGTGTGATTTTATATTCCACATATTGCAATATCATCATCGAGCGTATGTAGTATAACAGTACTTATACGTTCCAAACAACCAACTAATTTCTATTAGTATAGGTTCTATATCGCTGGCTTAAGTGGCCCACACACGTCAAACATGTGCATACGATCGGTGTGAACCGAAGCAATGTTTGACGTTTGTGGTACGGTATTCACACCGAATTGCCGGTGCGCACACCGATCGAAAGAAATTAAAAATTTTTATTTTTCGTTGTGCGACGCGCACATGTTTGACGTCTGACAAATCCAATACATATGTATTTGGAAGTTTTTTTTGATGTTTTTACACATATTCTACTGTGTGGCAAATAAAAATGTTTTTTTCCCGGAATAAAATAAAAGTATTTAATACATTTATATTAAATAAAAATATTTCGTCTTTTTTCCGTCATCACTATCGCGGTCCATCTCCACGCTTCAAAAATAAATGTGAAATGATGTTTAGTGGATCCGTTTGACGTGTGTGGGCTAGGAGCTTCACACCGATCGAACGCACATATTTGAGGTGTGTGGCCCACTTTAACATGTAAAGGCAATAATTCCCAATTTCACAATTTTCCAGGAGAGACAAAAAACAAACAATCTTTCATTCGAATTAAAATTATTTAAATCTTTAAATGCAAATTTGTTTTTGTATTGTATGAGTACGTCCCTATTTAAATTGGGAAAAATCGGTTCAGATTTACATTTAGCTACCATATACATTTTCGTATTTACATATTTTTCGATTTGCAGCATATCGTACTGAATCAAGTCTAGCATGATGTGTGTTAAGTTTCGTGAATATCAGGTTTAGATTTAAATATAGCTCCTATATATATTTTCGTCCGATTCAATGTAAATAAAGTACCAAAGACCCTTTACATTTTTGATTTACACGCATAGCGTACTAAATTGAGTCTAGAAGATGAGCTAAATTTCGTTTTCAGATTTAGATATAGCTCCCATATATTTTTTCTTCCGATTTTAGGAAATGTGTGAATATAACTTTGGTCCTCCTTTAGGCTTAGCCCCATTAACTCATTTAACGATACCGTCAATACCAACAATGGCAATATCAATTCACTTAGTTTATTTGATTGTTGTATCATGTTCTATGCTCTCCAACTTCAGACTTAAATTAAATTTATTCAAAAATAAATTAAAAACATTTAATTTTTAAAATTAAAGTTAAGATTTTGACGTAAAAATATCTGGCGTTGTTTGGGTTAATTAGCCATAGCCCCTCATATAATGATAACCCCAAATATTCGCTAATTCCTAGCTATGTAATCAATATAGTTCCCCTTTAGACATAACTTTGCAATCTAAATTGCAATTTATATTGCAAAGGAATGTCTAAAGTTATGTCACCTATAGTGAAGGGTATTCAAATTCGGCCCGGCCGTACTTGACGTTTTTATACCCTATACAACTATGTTGTCAGGGTATTATAGCTTTGTGCAGCCCCAAAAGTTTGTAACGCAGCGAAATATTGGTCCTAGACCCACCTTTAAGTATACCGATCGTCATATCTCGACTAGCTGAGTCGATCTAGACATGAGTGTCCGTCCGTCCGTCTGTCCATTATAATTTGTAAACACGATACAGGCCACAGTTATGGACCAATCTTCACGAAATTTTGCATGTAGGATGGGTTCTGGCCAATGATGACCCCTATTTTTTTTGGGGAAGATCGGTTAATATTTAGGGGATGAAATGGACCAAATACTAAATTTTTGTCGGTTTTTCTGGTCGCTTCAGAGGCCGCAATAATGGCCCGAACATCGTGAAATTTTCCACGGAGAAGGGGATTGGGCCAGAGAATAAGCATGCCTGTTTTCATATAGATCGGTCAATATTTAGCGGGTCAAATGGGCCCTGACTTTTGTGTGAAAAATTACAAAATTTGTACTCTATAACGTATATATTTACCCATGAAGGACATAGGCCCGAGAAGTTTATATTATATCCCAGAGGAGTGGTTGACCTTTAAATTAATACCAATTATATTGTTGTATGTGCTCGGATGTGGGAGTTACACCTAAATATTTACACGTATCTCCGTATTCGTATATTATTTAGTAACCCATTATCACTCTAGAGAGCGGAACTATAGCGCTGATCGCTTTTAAATGTTCCATGAGGTTCCAGTTATGGTCAAGGACAACGCCTATAATTTTCGGTGATGATCAGATATTAATTTTGGAATGAAGTGGACCGAAAACAAAATTTTTTGTGTTATTTTCGAGTCGATCTAAAGACCACAAATTAAAGCCGAACATCACAACACAAACCACGGTGAAGGGAATCTGGACAAAAACTGTACTGAATACTCGTAATATTCGGAAAATATGTCAGTGTGAGGAAGAGGTGCTGTTTACCTCTAATCGGGCAAGAGGGTGAAAATATCACAAAATATTGCCCAGGCTCAGAATAAACATCCGCAGAAAATTTGAGTTCCGTGGTAGTTGTGTAGGGTATCGTATGGTCGGCCCTGTCCGACTATACTGCTCCGCTCACTGGTTTTCACTTGTTTTTTAACATCCTTTGTATGATATGTATTCCTTGTTCCAATTGTAAACTGCCAATTTTCATCGATGTTGAATGAGTATTTTATATACATAAAAAACGATTTTTTAAGACCAATTGTATGGGAGGTATACCAAATCCTGGTCCGATGTTTTCAGTTTTTCGTCGCTGGTTTTAATGGCTTAACTGGAAATAAACTGCCAATTTTCATCGAATTTGACTGACGATTATTGAGGTTATAGGCAAAAACGACGCTACGTGTTTTGAGAATTGTTTGATTCCGAAAAAATGTTGCAGATACATGTTCCACCAATTTCCATCCACATATCATTGCTTTTGCGATAAAGAAAATGACAATGTTGAATGGCTAATAAATCATTTATGTCCAATTCTAACATTATGTACGGAATGTAAACAACTAAATATATACATATGTATGTATATATGTTTATTCAATTCATAACATGAAAATAAACGAATGTTATGAAATGACAAGCATTTTTAAATTTGTTTTTAAAAATCATTTTAGTAAAAAAACCCCCGTTAGTGAATGCCATTGTTATTGGTGCATTAATAATTAAATCATATTTCATATTAAACTAAACTGCCCTTATATATAGGACATGGCAATTGTGTCATTTCGTTCCATAAAGTACATACAGTTTGTTAAAGGAACTTAGGAGGAAATTTATCAAAACTATTATCAATGTAAAACCAGTAAGGAAAGTAGTAAAATCGGACGGGGCCGACTATATGATACCCTTCACCACTTTGGGTATATTCAACAGATGAATCCTAACAGACGTCGCATTTTTCAAGGACCAGTAAGATGAAATTTGATCTATAAACATGTCATTCTGCACCCGACTCTAAATTTTTCATTTGGTCAGATATAGAAGCTATATCTAAATCTGAACCGATTTCACGAAACTTAACACACATCATTCTAGACCTAACTCATTACGCTGTGCCAAATTTCGGGCAAACCGAAAGATATTAAGGGACTTTGGTTCACCATTTACATTAAATCGGATGAAAATATATATGGAAGCTATATCTAAATCTGAACCGATTTTCAGGAAACTTAACACACATCATTTTAGACTTAATTCATTACGCTGTGCCAAATTTCGGGCAAACCGAAAGATATTAAGGGACTTTGGTACACCATTTACCTTAAATAGGACGAGAATATATATGGGAGCTATATCTAAATCTGAACCGATTTTCAGGAAACTTAAATCACATCATTTTAGACTCAATTCCGAAAGATGTGCCAAATCTCATGCAAATCTAAAGATATTAAGTGTCTTTGGTGCACCATTTACATTAAATCGGACGAAAATATATACGGAGCTATATCTAAATTTGAACCGATTTTCAGGAAACTTAAGACACATCATTCTAGACCTAATTCATTACGCTGTGCGAAATTTCGTGCAAATCGAAATATATATAGGGACTTTGGTGCACCATTTACATTAAATCGGACGAAAATATATATGGGAGCTATATCTAGATCTGAACCGATTTCAATAGGCTTCGTCCTTGGGCAAAATAAGTGACATATGCCAAATGTCATCCAAATCGGATCAGATAAATGCGACCTGTACTTTGTTCACAAAAATACATGGACGGACGGAAGGACATGCGTAAATCGACTCAGAAAGTGATTCTATGCATATTCTCAAAAGGAGCCATGTTTCTATCTCGTTTCCTTTTGCCTGTTACAAACATATGCACTAAGACATAATACCCTGTACTACAGTGTGGTGAAGGGTATAAATAGTTAAATATTCTGATAGAAAAATTCACAAAAATATATATATATATATATATATTTTATTTTATGATTTCGAAAAATTTTAAACGTAAAAGTCCATGTATATTTCAATCACACCAACTTTTGAATAAATAGATTGATACATTTATATACTTAAATGTATCAATCTATTTATTCAAAAGTATAATTCACGATGTTAGGTTACCACGAGTATTAAACCCCTTTAGATTGCAATTATATTGGCTATAATAAGACAAGTCCTTGACTAAAGTTAAACGGATCATGAAATTTATTCCTTTTCGGTGTATTGTTTTTCCAAACATTTGCTTGAAAATCTACATTTCAGATTCTAACTAAAGATTATCAATTGGCTTGGCTTCTCAACCCCTTGGAAAACCCTAACAAAGGAAAGATAAAATTCATGTGTGGTGGCTTATCACCTGATTTAAATTTAAAAACAAGCAATCAACGATCGGTAAATAATACCAAATATGTCAAGATATATCACTATGATAATAAAAGCAAGCCTACAATATTGTTTTATTGATTTTAACTACTATTTTGAATTGTCCAAATCGCATATTTCAATAGTAATGTCTATATCAATGGCATTTATTTGATTCAAAAATAGTTGAGTTCATGACAGATAATGTTATTAGAATAAAAATCCATTACACGCTTCAAAAAAAGGAAAACTGTTTTATATTATATGAATGGAACAACAACAGCAAGAAAGAAACCATAATTTGGACAAATAGTTTCAGTAATCTTAACTAATATTTTCAAGTGGTCGAACAGATAATTTCGAATAATAATACAAAGACATTTATTTGGCTATTCAGGAAAAAATTGTTTAGGAACATTTTGCACAGATTTCAGATACAAGCGTACTTGAGTGATAAGAAATATTCACGCGATGTCATGATCGGCTAACGGGTGACGCCATTTGTCGAATAGATAGCGTTACATGCCCCTTTTTCGGCCCATGGCAAATTTCGTATAAAAGAGGAAGTATTCGAACGAATCAGTTGTATTATTTCGTTTAACCATGAAATACTTCGTAGTATTCGCTCTCTGTGTAGCTGCCGGTAAGAAAACATTTAGAATAACTGGACAAGTGACCATAACTTGACTTTCTGTTTGCGTTTGATTATAGCCACCGCTGCCGCCATTCCCGAGGAAGAACGTATCAACGGTGAAAACGGTTGGTATGTTCCCCAAGCTGATGGATCCTTCGAATGGGTCGATCTTGATGAAGCCGAAAGTTTCTTGGAAGCTGCTGAACAATTAGAAGGACGTTTGTCCACCAACCCTGTCACCTTCTTGTTGTACACCAGATCCAACCCCAACGGTGTAGAAATCACCACCTCCTCCAAGACCATTTCCGCTTCCACCTTCAACCCCGCACATCCCACCAGATTCACCATCCACGGCTGGACATCCAGCAAAGATGACTTTGTCAACTATGGTATCCGTGATGCTTTCTTTAGCGTAGGTGACTACAACATGATTACCGTCGACTGGGGTCGTGCTCGTTCCGTTGATTATGCTTCCTCCGTTTTGGCTGTTCCCGGTGTTGGTGCGAAGGTTGCCAAATTGATTGATGTCTTGGTTAAGAATCACGGTATGAAATTGGACGATTTGGAAATCATTGGTCACAGCTTGGGAGCTCATGTTGCTGGTTTCACTGGCAAGAACATTTCTACCGGTAAAGCTCACACCATTATCGGTTTGGACCCTGCCCTACCCTTGTACAGCTACGACAAACCCGACAAGCGTTTGTCCAGCACTGATGCCTACTATGTTGAATCCATTCAAACCAACGGCGGCAAATTGGGCTTCTTGAAACCCATTGGCAAGGGTGCTTTCTACCCCAACGGTGGCAAATCTCAACCTGGTTGCGGTATTGATGTTACTGGCAGCTGCTCCCACAGCCGTTCCGTTGAATATTTTGCCGAAGCTGTTGCTAAAGACGATTTCACCACTGTCAAGTGTGAAAACTACGAAGATGCCGTTGCCAAGAGCTGTGGCTCCACTTATAGCTCCGTTCGCATGGGTGCCGATACAAACGCCTATATGGTTGCTGGTGATTTCTATGTTCCCGTCAACAAGGAATCTCCATATGGCAAATTGGCTTAAGTTACTATAATATAGTAGCATGTGTTTTTTTAAATAAAGTAAATATTTTTAAAAATATTTTTGTGTGATTCTTTTTCATCGGTTAGGAGATTGCAAATGTTTTCATGTTTGTGATTTATTACATACTTTTTCGGAGATAAGATATCAGTTACTTAAAGACAATACGTGATGCAGTTCTTCTAATATATATTTGAAACTATTGTACCCATATTGTATGTGTGTGTATTCCATCAAGCAGACAATTGCGGATATAATCTAACCCAACAAAACTTTTTTTGTCAAAAATTAAGCAACAGCAAAAATTATTTATTATGTTATGATTATACCAATATCCCATACTTTGTTAAAAAGGGAGACTATTTGAAAACCCTTTTTAGGTAATTAAAAAAAAGTATGACCTATAACAGTTCGACGACTTATAATGATTTTAGGATCAAGAGTTAATGTTATGCTTGGAAAGTGATGTTTATGCTCACCTATTACAAATTCGATAGTAAGAAATCCTTAATACATGAATGTACTGTAGACATTATTTTAAGTATTTTATCCACAGCCGGAGACATCACGACCGACTTATACTATGCTGCGATAGATGCGGATATGTAACAAAAATTTTTTGAGCACAAAAAATGCTGTCCGTTTAAACCTTTTAAACCCCATGAAATTTTATATTTTTGGCTTTTATAAGCTTTTTTGCTGGGATGTCGAAACCACTGAAACAAATTTCAAGAATTGCAACATATGTTGTCTTTTATGCTGGTTTCATTCTGAAGAAAATGTCTGCGATTTATCAAAAAACACAAGTCCAATTTTGTTTTTTGTTTTTACCATAACATTGCAAATGCTATAAAAATTGCCAAAACGTTCTGAATTCTGCAGGTAGAAAATATATTTTTCGTTGGAAAAGAGAAACCGAAAACTTCATTAGTTTTATACACTGCACCAATAAAGGACAGTATTGCAATTTGTGTGAGTTCATGACCAGTTCAGTTTTGAAATAATCAGCAGCGAATGACTTTGGATTTTGACCGGCTGAGGGTATAAACATGTACATAAACCAGTTAAAGTAGTAAAAATTAGGAGGCCGGATAGGCTTGGTCTAAAATGACTATTTAGAAGCAGATTAATTTAAACCTGCATAAAAAACAACAAGTGAGCGGAGCAGTATAGTCGGACGGGGCCGACCATATGATACCCTACACAACTACTACGAAAAGCCTGGGCAATATTTCGTGATATTTGCACCCTTTTTACCGATTATAGATCAACAACTCCTCTTTCTAAGTCTTGCATATTTTCCAAAATATTTTTTCTTGAAGTGAATTTTAAAGCCATACAATAAAAAATTGGTCACTTTAGGTTTTGGTGGATTTGACACTCGGAAAATTGACCGATCATCATCTAAACAACCGCTCTAAGTATTTGGTCAGATCCCCTTCGCCTTGTAAAATATGTGATGTTCTGTATATAATAATTGCCTCTAGAGCGACTAGAAAATCTGGCAAAATTAAAGTTTTCGGTTCATTGTACGCCCTGAATGAAATCTCAACTTCACCGAAATTTATAAGCATCGTCTTTGACCATAATCGGAACTTCAAGTACAATTTCAAAGCGATCAGCGCGAGATTTCCGTCCTCTAATGGAGTAATAGTAATAATATGCACATAGTCACCTTTAATTAATTACGTATAACTCCCGCATCGGAATACATACAGTCATATAATTAGTATCAATTTGAAGGTCAACAACTCATATTGGACATACTATCAACATCTCGAGTATATGTCCTTCAGGAGCAAGTATATACGCCCCAGAATAAAAAATTTGTAATTTTTCACACAAAAGACAGGGTCCATTTGACCCGCTAAATATTGACCGATCTTTATCAAAACAAGCATGCTTATTCCTAGGCCCGATCCCCTTCTCCCTGTTAAATTTCACGGTGTTCGGACCATAACTGCAGCCTCTGGAGCGACCAGAAAAACCGACAAAAATTTAGTATTTGGTCCATTTCATCCCCTAAATATTAACCGATCTTTATCAAAATAGGGGTCTTCATTGGCCAGAACCCATCCTACATGCAACATTGTGTGAAGATTGGTCCATAACTGTGGCCTGTATCGTGTTTACAAATTATAATGGACAGACGGACGGACACACATGCCTAGATCGACTCAGCTAGTCGAGATATGACGATCGGTATACTTAAAGGTGGGTCTAGGACCAATATTTCGCGGCGTTACAAACTTTTGGGGCTGCACAAAGCTATAATACCCTGACAACATAGTTGTGTAGGGTATAAAAATAACCAAATTAATTAAAGCCAATGTTTGGACAAAGCCCCAATATGAACATACTGACCATGGTTTGGCATAGCCCCCATAGGGGAATAACAGCAGTGGAAATGGGACCAGAATGTAAATCCATATGAATAACTTAACTGAATCCATATGTATAAATAAATGTTTCTTCTTGCATCGACGAAGTAGTTTATGTATATTCAAGATAGCTTCACATTAATATACATCTAATGACCAAAAAATTATAATAAAATTCGTCACATTCCGGATGATATTCGATCCACAATAAATAAACTCAAATTATGTGTGACAAAAACATGGATTTCGGATATGGGAAACGATTTCAAATTATAACACTAAAATATACTCCTAATTAATGCTCATATTTATTGAACTAGATGTATCAGTAGGTTCAACACTATATCATCTACCCAAATCTCTTTTAAAAACTGCTATCAATCATTAGCAATATTTGTCATCTGGTATGGGAAATTTTGCATAAATTTAAAACATTTTCATTTCAGTACCATTATCCCCCTCCGAAAGTTTGCCATTTTCATTTTCTAATCATGCACATCTCTAAACTTTTCCTTCCTTTTTCCCTGTGTTCCCCTATGAACGAATAACTTTCTCTCAGCGTGAAACATATTTTCCCAGTATGAACTGAAAAAAATCTTCAAGTTATGAGAACTTTTGCAAAGAATTCTTTTACTGCATTTCAAGATATTAATGAAAAAGGAAGAAACCAAAAACAATTATTATGTGTGCAAAGCATTTGGTGAACACATAATACCGCCATGGCTTACAGACATAATGAAGGTAGAAAACTTTACACAACTTCTTTGCCTATAGAATTGCATACAGAAGCCAACATTGCCGCCGTCTCCGCCACCACCACCACCACCATGACTATTATCCACAACATAATTAAACGAATTAACTGAGATTTCATATTTAATTACCTTTAATTCCGGGTACTTTTCACTTCCGCCGTTGGTGTGCTCGCCGTACTCAGTTTGTTGTAGTCAAACAAAATACTCATGTGTGCCGTCATAAAATAAGAATAACATCCGAAGGATACTTTTAATTAGATTCTATGGCAGTTATTTAACAGACATGTGAGCATTTTGACGTTTGTTTAGCCTCATAAATGTGCAGCACACCATCATCGTCGGCAATGTGAATACTTTGGCGGGGAGTGGAAGTGTAGAGACTACCATTATAATTTCCGCAATGAAAACGATAGGCAAAGTTGACTTATAATAGATTTTTTTGTTTTGATTAGACTAACTTATGCTTTCACTTTTTATTCCATTTACGACACTTTAATTAAACCTAGGGAAATATTCATGTTCAAAGGAATCAATATATATTAGAGGCCCTAAAAATATGGGAAAGGGGCAACTTTAAAACCATTTTGCTTCTGAGCCTCATAAAATTTTTTTATATTATAATTTTTGTTTATTTTTTAATAAATTTTAACTAATAGTTACAGATGTAACCTTTACCCCACCTTAACATATGGCATACTTTAAGTCGTTAAAGAAAACCAAGATTTGTATCAGAACCTAAAATCCACTGAAACCACTTTAAAAATAAAAGACTCATGTATGAAAGAAAATATATTATGTAGATATATTTAAAACGATTTTTGGAATGCAACAAAGATGTTTAACGAAAGAAAACGATCACTGAATTCTTCCTGCCCTTGCAACAACAAAATAAAAAATTACAATGGCACTCCGAAAATATGTATACTCATCTAAATTCGGTCTTCAACTGAAAAAGCTGAAAGTTTTTCACATTGACAGACACAAGATAGCGATATAAAAAATTCGTTGCGGGTCGGAAAAAAATTAAACTGAAATTTTGCGACCCAAGTTTCCGGGTAGACCCCATATAACGGTACCCCCAAATATTCGGAAATGTTGAGATTTTGTACATGTTTTTTAACCGAATTGGCTGTAATTTATTATGGGATCTTATTGTATAGCAAATTTTGTACTTACAAAGCTACCCCCACATCTCTTTACTTAAAATGATTTCACTACCCAAAATAATCAATATTGACCTCCGTTTTGTACCGAATTTTCTCTTTGTTCACTTGCACAAATATAAATATGTCATCCGTTTGGCTATGTCTGTACTTCTAGAAAACGCAACTACGTAATTTTATGCTCAAATTTGTGCAAATGTTTGTGCAAAATTTGATGTCAATCTGACTACATGAAGAGTTTGATGCCCAATTTACTTGAAATCGGGTGAAAATATATGGAAGCTCAAACAAACACAGGTTAGTTTATAGTAATTTCAGAACGTTTTGTTCCTATCAGCCTATTGGTTCCTTGGTACGTCAATTACTTAAAATCAATATATAATAAAAGGGAGCTATATCTAAATCTGTTAATGATATATTTTCCTATATAAAGATTTTTACGAAACAAGGCAGACATCACTCTAGGCTCAATTCAGTACGTTATGCCAAATTTCGTGCAAATCGAAAGATATATAGCGACTTTGGTGCACCATTTACATTAAATGGGACGAAGCTATATATGGGAGCTATATAGAAATCTGGACCGATTTTCTCGAAAGTTGGCAGACATAATTCTAGACCTAAATGATTAGGCTGTACAAAATTTCGTGCAAATCGAAAGATATATAGGAATCGTTTACATTAAATCGGTTAAATATATATGTGGG